CCTGGGCTACAAAATGAGCTCAAGGCCAGCCTGAACCGCATGGGGAGACCCTGTCTCAAAAAGATAAAAATAAATAAATAGCATTGAATAAATAAGAAAGAAAAACTGCTTTGTGCTGCTGGAGTGCTGTATCAGCCCCATTTCTAGATTGTAAAATACTCCATAGTCAAAATAGCTTTCAGTTGATTAAATTCAACGTTATAAAATCACTTCAGTCTGGTCATCTATTCTCAATGATTTGGTGAGCAGCGCAGCTCTGGATTAGGCTGCAAGGTAGCATCCAGCTGGGCCCCAGGGGCGGGGGTGGTGGTGGTGGAGGTGGGGGGGTGAACCATTGCCAGGTTCCCTGGGGAGTGAGCAGTGGTGGCCTCCCCTCTCTTGTTTGTCGACAGGCTGGGTTCACCCCCTCATGGTTTTTCACACTCCGATACCAGAGCCTCATCTTAATTTGAATTTTGAGTGTAACTTGCAGTCTGCATCACTTAATTTTCCAGGACTGAATGACCATTCACCCGGTGGAATATCACACAGGTGTCAAGAATGGTGGCTGTCTTTCCATAATGGAGTATCAGGAAATGCAGGGCACATACAGTGTAGAACATGCAGTATTACTCGTTTTTTCTTTTTAAAGATGTGTATCTTAGAGATTTTGAAATATGTAGATTGATATTCTGAACTCTCTGAATGTCAGGTTTCATTTTTGTATGCCTTTCCATGGAGCCTGAATTTTAATACTATTTTACTAATCACCGAAAGCATTGTTCAGTTTGACACAAGGTGGGTGTTTCCTACAATGTCCCAAATTCCTTCACACTTGATTTTAGCCAAAAGAACGAGAAATTTCTTCAAGCAAACTATGTGTGTTACAAATCACTCTTTAAAAATAATTTTCTTTTGTCCTTTTTGAGACACGATCTCACTGTGTAGTCCAGGCTGGTCTCAAACTTAGGGTCACACCAGAAAAGAACTTTGAGAGAGGGGGTGGAGGTGGGAAGGGAGAGGAAAGGAGGGGCAGCCCCTGTAAGGTCAGGGTGTGTGTGTGTGTGTGTGTGTGTGAACCCCGCGCCCTGGGAGCCCCGCCCACCACCATCCTGATCTCTCTGCTTCCCGTGGCCCCTGCGGCTCCCCAGGAGCCCAAGGCCCAGGCAGCCTGAGCGCAGGTCCCACCTGGCTTCTGCACACCTGGCTTCTGCATACCTTCACGGGCTTTCCACCCGCTCTCCTCTCACCCTATTTTTAGCTGTGAGAAAGTAGGCTCCCCCCGCCAAATTACAACCACTTTATTCATAAATGCATTGTCTGTGGGTTTTTAAAAAATTATCTGACACTCAGCATACACATCAGGACTATATTTTAATAGTGAAGTGAAAAAAATCTAACTTCATTTTTGTATGATTGATGTTCTGTTTTCTAGTAAAAACATTTTAGGCTGGGAGTGGTGGCGTATTCCTGTAATCCCAGCCCTCCGGAGGCTGAGGCAGGAGAATCATTTCAAATTTAAGGCCAGCTTGAGCTACATAGTAAGTTCAAGGCTAGCCTTGAGACCCTGTCTCAAAAGTGATAAAAAAAAAAAATTGTCACTTTAATTGGTTAAGTTCATTGAGGTCCTTAAATTCTAATGTGTGATTTTTATATTAGAATGATTCTGTCGTATTTCTACCTGGTGTCATATTACTTATAAAAGTATAGTAGTTGACACATGTCTTCTTTGCTCAGTAAAATATTAAAATATTCATGTATATATCCACTTTCTTCTGCTTTTTCCTTGCAGAATCCTCATTATCACAAAATTTTTTTTTTAAAAAATGTGTAGTTCTGGAGATTAAACCTAGGGACTCATGCATGCTAGCAAATACTTTACATCCCCTGCCCTTGATGTAAATAGCATTCCCCTCTGCTTCTGTGTGAGCTCTCTGGATATAGTCCATATTTGGGACATTATGATTTTCCTTTTCATCCCTTTTTTTGTGGTGCTGGAGATTGAACACAGGGCCTTTATATTTTGCTACATCCCCAGCTCTTTGTGAAACTTTTTATTTTGAGACAGTCTCCCTATGGTCCTGAATTTTCCCTGGCTGGGCTGGAATTTGGGAGCCTCCTGCCTCAGCCTCCTGGAGAGTGAGATTACCGGTGTGTGCACCACACCCAGTGGCTTCCTGTCTCTTATGCTGTCTCCTCCTCTCCCTTCTTCTCCTCCTCCTCCTCTCCCTTCTCCCCTCCTCCTTCCCTCTCCTCCTTCTGACCTACCTGCCCCTTTTCCCAGTTTCCCTCGTTTTGTGAAAAGCATGCTGTGCAGATTGTTTGTGGTACCATGAACCATGTCACAGGCAGAAGAGCACACAAGCCGAATCTGCCCGGTGAGCTTGTGCATCTCTTTGCAGTATGGAGGTGAGCCTTCCGCATGTGTGGGAAGGATGCCCAAGATAATATTCAGGATGCCCCGGGAAGACCTGAAGACCGGGGCTGCAGAGGTTTCCGATCCACTGGTGTCTTTTTTTTTTTTTTTTAATTTTATTTAAGGAGAAAAAAGAAAAAAAAAAAAAAAAAAAACAGAAAAAGGGTCCAAGTTATACAAAATTTCTGCTCTCCCTCATTCACCTGCAAGGCAGGGCTGTTGTCTCGGGGCAGAATGCCTGATTCCGAGGAGCTGAGAGACCTGAGTGTGAGCAGATAGACTCAGCATGTGCAGGGGTTCTGAGCCGCAGCTGTGTGAGCTGTGAACTCCCGCGGCGTGGTTTCTGCCAGAGAAGTCACAGCACGGGTAACAGGGAGACCTGCCATGGGAAGCCACCCACAGCCACACGCTCCTGTCTCCGAAGGTTGATCTGATTGACGGTTTTGAAATTTTGTTGTAGTTTTTTCTTTTCTCCTCTTCCTCCTCCTTCTCCTTCTGTTCCTTCTCCTCCTCCTTCTTCTTCTCTTTCTCCTTCTTCTCCTTCTCCTCCTGCTTCTTCTCCTCCTCCTCCTCCCTTTTCTCCTCCTTCTTTTTTTATTCTTGAGTAAAATGGATTTGGAAAAAAAAGAGAGAGAACGTTGACCTGCTTGGGCTTCCATAGCTCAGGCAGGCTAATTCCAGCTGAATGAAACAAACTTCAGAGAAGGGAAATGATAAAAGGTTCCTTCCATTCACTGACAGATCCTCACCGAGTGCCTAACCCCAGTCTCCATAAAGAACTCTACTTTTGAGCTGTCTTCTCTAAGGCCTTCAATGCTGCGATTGCTGGCAGTGGGGTGTTAGCCACTCACCGGTAGCAAACGTCCTCGGGTTCAGTGCTAGGTCGGCTCTGTGCTGGCGGGGACCTGGAGGCTGCCCCATCAGCATCCAGTGTAACAGGGACGTAGACTGTTATGTGTGAATGGCAATCGCCAGAATAAGTTGCATAAAATACAGAGGTGGGGAGCGGTGTGTGGTCCTCGGAGGGAATCACTGTAGGGACTGGAGGGGCTGGCAGGCTTGAAGGATGAATAACAGCATTCCGGGCAGGTAGGGGCGGTGAAGGCATTCCGGGGAACACGGGCACGAGGGGTGTGTAGCAGAGTGCAGACCGATTCAGCTTCATGTCACACAGCCAACCAGTCACACTGTGGTCGGTTTATCTGTCCTTTTTAGTTTGGGGGTTTTTTAGTTTTGTACTGGAAATCGAACTCAGGACTTTGTGCTTGGCAGGCAGGTGCTTATGCCGCTGAGCTGAGCCCCCAACCCTGTTTGTCCTTTTGATCTGTGGGAGTGTTTTTTGTGTCTTACCTACCTGATCAATGTTTTTTAAAAATTGGACTCTTTGGGTGGGGGCTTTAGCTCAGTGGTGTAAGCACCTGCCTGGCAAGCGTGAGGTCATGAGTTCGATTCCTGGTGCCAAAAAAAAAAAAAAATCGGACTTTTCTGTAGATCAACATTTCAGTGAGGGTGTCTTACCACTTTAAAGGTATTCAGCAATCCTAAATAACATCATTTTCCACACCGGCCCCATTTTATTTAGCTTAAAAGACAGAAGTTCTTACCCATGATCCTTGGGCATTGTGTTTGTTTAGCATGAATAATCTTTTTTTAAAAAATGTAGTTTGGGGCTGGGGATTTAGCTCAGCGGCATAAGCGCCTGCCTTGCAAGCAGGCAGTCGTGAGTTTGATCCCCGGTACCGATAAAAAAGAAAAAGACAAAAATAAAAAAATGTGGTTTGTTTAAATTTTGAAGTTCTTTGTCTAGGAAAGTGAATTGTTCACATTTTGAAACTCTAAAAATAAAACACTGGCGAGGTGATTGCCAAAACAATGGTATCAATCAGAAATGCTTTCTGAATCATTTCTAAATGAGCATTAATTACCTAGCCAGATCGCAGTTACTAGGCACTCGTTGTAAGCTAATTAACAGCAGTATCAAGAAATTTAAGGAATAAAATCCTTGAAAAAAAAACCCACCTCGTTTTCTAATGAGTTGAGAGGATCTGTGTTCCTCCCATGTCAGATGCAGAGTAAATGATTACATCTTATCATAAAGCTTGAAAGCTTTCATGGAGAATATCACTATCTTAGTGTACCCTTCCTCCCAATCAGATCCTATGAATCATGTGTTGTGTTATTTTAGATTGACTTAGAAACAAGCGTGCTTAATTGCCATGGAGCTGGCTGAGCCCCAGTTCGCTAAGATAGTTTCCTGCAGATTTCCAATAAATCCGTTAAAGAACCTGGGTTGCTTGTGGAGCAGTGATTTTTTTTCAGGCTCGGAATGCAGGTGGAGGCGTGAGGGAAGGTCCTGGAAGCCTCACTTGTGGATCTGCCTGTCCAGGTTCAGCGGTGTTAATTTCAGACGTGTTTAGATTTTGCTGGATTCCTTTATCCTTATTTTAAAAGCTTTGCTGTTTATTTCACAAGCAAACTATCGCACAATTAACAGTGTAACAGATCAGCATGTCGGTGTAACATCTGAGCGACTTAATAAACTTTCAAGGTCACTGTAACTTCTGGATACAAACTGTTAAATAATTTAGTGCCTCTTTTTCAACAGATGTGAATTATTAAAAAGAAAATGGCCCAACAGAGCCCAGCATTTCCTTCTCTTGTCACTGAAGAAAGATATAATATAAGGAAAATATGCATCAAAGGTACATTTTTCCTTTCCGCTGACCGTATGGGAACGGCAGTGGGAGTGAGGGTTGGCTGGTACCAGACCCCTGAAGAGTTTTGTTCAAAGGCAAGGGAGGTATGACTGTGTGCCCTTTCTTGGCTTCCGACTAATACTGAATTGTGGAACTGGGGTGATCACTGGAATTGGAGAGTTCTTGGGAGCCTGACCTCGGGCTTGAACTCAGTGGGGCTCTGGAAGCCTGGCGAACCCTCCAAACTTGGTTGAACATGTCCCCGTTAACCCTCCTAAATCTGAAGTTGCAAATAGGTGCCTGCAGGACAAAATTGTCTCACAAAAGTGCCTCACACAGAGGACAAGACCTTTGATGGGTCTGTGGCTTTTAAAACTAAGACAGTTTCCATGGGAATCTAAATTCTGGCTGTTCGGAAATATCAGATGATTTGGAAAAGCAGACCAGATTTGTGGTTGGTCACTGGTGGGTACAGCAGAATCACAGCCCTAGGGGCTGGGAAGAGACCCTGCTGGGTCCCCACAGTCATTTCCCTGGCTTTGTGCACTGGGGGCTCTGGTCACTGTGTCACCTGCCAGGCTCTCTGGGCATCTGATGTGTAACCACTGCTTCAGGGGGAAGCAGAGGGGAGAGCCTGTCAGACTTTGCCGGCTTGATCTTAACATCTCAGCTGGTGCTCTGGGCATGTCTGGTTCCCAATTCTGCCAGCCTCCGGCTAGTAGAGGTTACAGAACTGCTTCCAGCAGGCTGGCCTGTGGGTGCACCCCTGGGTATATCTATGTGCCTCCCCAGGAGGTCACTTGGGGGAAGAATCCCCGGCTCAGGCCCCACGTAGCTGGCAGGGACAGACAGATGCGTCTGCTTCTCTGGGAAGTCTTGCATCTGGATGTGAAATAATTCTCCTGCCAAGGTGCAAACCCTTGGTAACTCGGTCCCTTCTGCAGGCGGGTTCGAACCATGCCCCGCCACAGCCAGTCTCTGAGCATGGCCCCCTACTCCTCTGTGAGCCTGGTGGAGCAGCTGGAGGACCGCATCCTCTGCCACGAGAAGACCACGGCCGCGCTGGTGGAGCATGCCTTCCGCATCAAGGACGACATTGTTAACAGCTTGCAGAAGATGCAGAACAAAGGGGGTGGGGACCGGCTGGCCAGGCTGTTCCTGGAGGAGCACATCCGGAACATAACTGCCATCGTGAAGCAGCTGAACAGAGACATCGAGGTAAGGGGTGTGCCCGGGGTGGCCCCACCAGTTCCCCAAGTGGCCTGGCCTGCCATGCTTACTGATGCCCAGGAACAGCTTGTACCAGTACCTTGCGTGGACGCCAGGGTTTGACAGTAGTTCCCCACGCAACGAGGCTTGTGTTTATGCTGAGTGCACCTTGCTGGTCATTGCATCCCCATGGTGTGGCTGGCTTTCCATGGAGAGAGCAGGAACCAGGCACAAAGTGTGCTTGGAAACCCCTTTGCATCTTCTTTGAAGACAGCTATTAAATCAGTACTCAGCTGGCCTCTGCTGCCCCAGATGAAAGGTATCCAGGCCATTACCTAGGAGTCAGTTTGTTACTCGGGTGTTACTCTGGTATTTGAATTGCTTCTCACACTTTTCTTTATTGCTGTTTTGCTTTGTAATGGACCCAGTAAAAGGCTGCTGTTATCTGAGGTAGCATAGTCCTAGAGCTGATAAATTTACTGCTGTTATTTGAACAATCACAGGATCCACACAGTTTAGGTCAGAAAGTTTGAGCTTGCCTGGGGCTTTTTGTGGAAGTATCAAATAATAAATAAATAAATAATGCCCAGAATAAAGATGGGCTTTATTTCCAGTCATGGGGTTGCGTCTTAATTATGCTCCCTGACATGAGATCCTTTCTTTTTTATTAAGCCAGGTTTGTATTTTTAAAACTGCCTTATTGAGAGATAATTTAAGTACCACAATAATTCTCCAATTGTAGGTATATGATGAAGTGACTTCCCGTAGATTTATAGAGTTGTACAACCATCAACACAGTTCCATTTTAGGACTGTGCAGTCACCCTCTAAAACTCACACAAGTCCTGCTTCCACCCTGCCGCTCATCTTATTTTGTATCTTTGTAAATTTGTCTCTTCTGGGCAGCCCAGACAGGACTTCCTGTTTCACTCTGTAGCCTGTGCAGCCTGGCTTCTGCTTTCTCTGTGAATTTGCATTTTATGATGAATTCATGTAAGTGCCGTCACACAATATTTGTCATTTTGTACTGGCTTACTTTACTAGGCACAGCGCTTTCAAAATTCACCCATGGTAGCTGGGCCCAGTGGTGCATGCCTGTAATCCCAGCACTCAGGAGGCTGAGGCAAGAGGATCCTTGCAAGTTCAAGACCAGCCTGGGCTATAAAGTGAGCTCAAGGCCAGCTTGAACTGTATAGTGAGACCCTGTCTCATAAAGTCAAAAAAAAAATTTCTGCATGTTGTGGTGTGTATTAGAATCATTTTGAAGTTGGATTAATTGCGTTATTTGCCTTACCATTCAGAACTGCTACCAATTTATTATATAGGTTAGATCAAGTCCTTATAAGGTACGTGATTTACAGGTATTTTCTCCTGTTCTGCAGCTATATTTTCATTTCCCTAATGGTGTTCTTTCAAGTATAGACTTTTCCTTCCTTCCTTCTCTCCTTTTTTCCTACCCTCACTCTGATACTGGGGATTGAACTAGAGCCTCACACATGCTAGGCAAGTGTAATATCTCTCAGCTCCACCCCTGGCCCTCTTTTAAATTTTAATTTTGAGACAGGGTCTCAATAAATTGGCCAGGCTGGGCTCAAATTTGTGTTATTCCCACCTCAGCCTCCCAAGCAGCTGGGATTACAGGCTTGCACCTCCACACCCAGCACAAACATATTTTCCTACACATTTTTGGGACAGTTTAGAATGCAGTGGGTTTTAAAGCAATTGTAGCTCTGCTGTTTTTCTAGCATCTGAAACGCATCTCATGTAATGATTATTCTTGCCGTACTAGACAGCACCCTTCCATTTCTACATGTGTTTAGAGTATGTGAATTTTGCAAATGAGATGAAATGAGTGGAAACACTGCAAAGAAGGAAAACTGAATAAAATCTAATTTTGGCAAAAAAATTACTTCACATAATTGAGTGTTTACTTTTTTATAACTGGTCACAGCCACATATATTAAAATAGTAGTCAGGAAGTTTAGAAACTTCAGACTTCCCTATGGAATACTGATGATACGGACTCTGATATAACACTAAGCATGTCTACCCAAACATAAGGACACTTGATGAGACAGAAAGCTCACCCCACAGCCAGAATCCATCAGCATGAATCGTGGTTGTCTTGCTGTGGGCTGCCAGGACAAGTTACCATGGACTGTGCGGCTAAAATGACAGAAATTTCCACAGTTCTACTGGCCGGGGAGGCTGCCTGGTTTGTAGACTGCTGGCCTCTTGCATCCTTGCATGGAGAGAATACAGAGCAGAAGCCGGCTCTCTGGTCTCCTCACTAGAGGCACTGACCATGGTCCTGAGGGCTCCACCCTCCTGACCTAAATAAAACCTTCCCAAAGGCCCTGCCCCCCAACACCATCGAGGGGGGAGTTGGCATTGCAACATTTAGGTTTTAGGGGTGCATGTACATTTAACCCCTAATGGTGGTGCACAGTGAAAATGTAAAAGTACTTAAAGGAAGTCTTTATCAATAATGTAAAAATTGGGGAGGTAAATGTTATACAAAAGGTGAGAGTTGCATATTTAAAGCAAGAGGTGTGAAGATATTCAAATTGTACTTAGTATGAAAGGTGTATTTTTTTGTTGTTATCTGTAGATTGTTAATAAATTCTGCAATGAATACCTGGATTTTTTTTTTTTTTTTTTTTTTTTGCCATACTGTGGCTGGAACCCAGGGTCTTTGCACTGAACTACCCCCAGGCCTCCTTTTTTAAATTTTTGAGACAGTCTTACTAAGTCATAGAATTGTGCAGGCTGGGCTCCAATTTGAGATCCTCTTGCCTCAGTCTCCCGTGATGATGGGATTACAGACAAGGGTACCAAGCCCATTGAGATTTTTCTTACTGATTTATACTTGTTTTTCATTCACGAAGTAAAACTTGGAACCTGCTCAGGTGAAGACAGGTGCCTCTGTGTGCTAGCATGCAGTCAGCACTGACCAAGTTTGGCTGGGCAGCTCTACTGTTTGACCAGATCCCGGCCCATTAGCAATTTGCTTTGATATGGAGTATGTCATTCATAACTGATTCCTCATAAGCTTTCCATAGGTTATCCTCATTATACATTTAGAGGAGGTGATAGAGTCAGCTGTGAATTATGCATGTCTGGTTTAACCAGTTACCACTTCCTGGACCCCAGGCTGTGCTTAGTGATCCTGACCCTTTTGCCAGTTGAGTTGAGGGCTAGGGGAAGTGGTGTGAAGCCCCCAGGTTCGCTCAGGGCTCTGGCTTTGGAGACTTGGGCAGTGGACTCTGCCACCTGGCTGCTTGGAACCTGCAGGTGGACCCTGGCTGCCATGTGCTGGGATTTCAGTGTCCTGCCGGCTTGGGGCATCAGCTTTGACTAGGTGTGTTATGGGGAATGCGGCCAGCTTTTGTCTGAGTAGATGAAATAATTGGCAAGTGGACTACAGAAGGGTTCTCAGCACACAAGTGGCGTGTGGAGCTTTAGGAAGACATCAGAAAGTGGACAGAGGAGCTAAATTCAGCAATGAAGGATTGCCTGGCTTGTGTGAGGCCAGGAGTTCAATCCCAGCACTGCAAAAAACCACATCAAGCCAGGCATGGTGGTGCATTCCTGTAATCCCAGCACTCAGGAGGGAGGCTGAGGCAGGAGGATCGATGCAAGTTTGAGACCAGCCTGGACTACAAAGTGAGCTAGTTTAATGCCAGCCTGAACTGCATAGAGAGACCCTGTCTCAAAAAGACAAAACAAACAAAAACACCAAATCAAAGTAAGAAGCAGTAAGCACAAAAATGCACAGACAAGGTTGTGAGTATGGAGTAGGGCTGGACAGACAAGAACTTGCTTTAGTATGTACCCAGCAGGCCAAAGAGGAGAGGGTGTTTTGATTGTTGGACTTCATGTATTTCACCTGGAAATGAAATTTCTGCCTGCAGCTGGGATCTGGGCCATTGTTCACACACACACACACACACACACACACACACACACACACACACACACACATACACGCACACATGCATGCATGCGCACACACGCACACACATACCCTTGGCCAGAGAGAATTGGTGATGAGCATCCAGATTCGTTTTGTTTACTCACTGGACTTGACACCAGCCAGAGAGGAAGAGAGAGCAGATTTGCTGTAATCTGAGTATCCATTCCATTCTCTTTGCATGAATGGCCTTTGTTTTGTTTGGTTTGGTTTTGTTTGCAGAGCTGGGCTTTGAACCCTGGGCCTTCTGCACTGAGCTGCATCCCCACCCCTTTTCTTGTTTTTATTTTGAGACAGGGTCTCTACATTGCTGAACTGGTCAGGCTGTTCTTGAATTGGCAGTCCTCCTGCCTCAGTTTCCCAGAGTGCTGGGATTAGAGGCGTGTGCCTCCACACCCAGCAGGCCGGCAGAAGTTTTTGTGTGAATGAACTGGCATGCTGGCTTTTTGCCGCGTCTAAGCTCCTCCTTGAGGACCAGGTGAGATGTCACCAGCTTCCTATCATCAGCCTTCCCGGCACCTCCTTCTGCGCACCTTGAGGGGGGAAGACCCTTAAAGATAGAACAAGGGAAAGGAAGGGCAGGCATGCACACCCGCCCCCTCGACGTGGGCGGGTGTGATTACAGGACGTCCCTGCTGTGTGGGGCTCCTGCCCCGCCACAGGCTTGCTCCTTGAAGGCACCCTGGGCTCTGGGTTCTGCAGGCTAAAGCAACCCCTTGACCTGACATAGTGGAGAACTGACTGACTTAACGCTCTGACCTTTCTTTTTTGACTGGAGATTGAACTCATGACCTCGAGTTTCCAGGCAGGTGCTTATGCTGCTGAGCTAAATCCTCAGCCCCACTTTGACCTATCTTAAATCCGTGCTTCCTGATGATGCACTGTTCCAAAGCAACAGGTTAGGGCCAGTCCCCGCCTTTCTGGAGACGTGTTTGTCCAAGGCCCCTTCCCCATCCTGCCTTCCCTCTCTTCCTTCTCAGGACTGAGGACGGGGTGTTGAGCTCATATGATTCTTTTCTGGATTCTTCAGAGCACTT